CACTCAGTTCTCCCTTTCAGGGTTGAAGGAAGACTCCTGGGCAGGGGGAACGGCTTGTGCCCTCTATTGCTTGTCAGGATCATCATTATTACCAGTATCTGCCTTTCTGTATCTTTCTGCCTTTCAGTATCTGCCTTTCTGTTAATTTTGCCTAAAACAGTTCACAGCATGTTAAATAAAAAGGTATAACAATTCAGAAACAATAAAAACAATTATATGTTACAATTACACTGACCAATAAAATTTATAATAAAGAATACAATATTGAATATAATGCAGATAAGCTAATACAGTATAACCCAGCAATTTAAATCTAGATCCAGCCATCCTTGCTAACGCTTCCCTCCTGGACAGAGCAAGCAGAAGCAGATGGCAGTTCCTTGCAGAAACAACTGTCACCTTAGCTTGACTGCAAAATGGGTGGGTGGGGTTTAGGGATTGAGAAGGTAGTGGCCTCCTGCATGCTCTTTTTCCCTGGTTAGTGGGGGACGAGGCAATTCTGTTCACCATGTTTTGCAGAGATAAACTGTGAGCAAGCCATGGGATGGGATGTATAATCCTGTACATGCTGGTAAATCTTCTCTCTCTCAGTCACCAATACTCATCTTTTGGGCAGCAACGAAGTGCTGCTCAGTAAATCCAGCAAATTTTCCTTATGCTTTTTGTGGGATGAGAGGGGGTAAGCAGATAGACAAAGGTAGTGGCTCCTTTCTCAGCACCCACTGTCTCTTCCATTGTTTGTTGAGAAAGAGCAGATACATTTGAAAATAAAACAGCCAACATGACAGTGCCATTGTACAAAACTCTGGTAAGGCCGCATCTGGAGTATTGCATACGGTTCTGGTCACCACACCTCAAAAAAGACATCGTGGAACTGGAAAAGGTATGGAAGAGAGCGACTAAAATGATGACTGGGCTGGGACACCTCCCTTATGAGGAAAGGCTACAGCATTTGGGGCTCCTTAATCTAGAGAAAAGGCACCTGGGGGGGCATGATTGAGATGTATCAGATTATCGAGGGGATGGATGAAGTGGATAGAGGGAAGCTCTTTTCCCTCTCATGCAATACCAGAACTAGGGGACATCCACTCAGATGGAGTGTTGGGAGAGTGAGAACAAACAAAAACTGTTTCTTTACCCTGCGTGTTGTTAGTCTGTGGAACTCCTTGCCACAAGATGTGGTGATGCTATATGGCCTAGATGCCTTTAAAAGGGGATTGGACAGATTCCTGGAGGAAAAGTCCATTGCAGGTTCCAAGCCATGATGGGGATGTATAATCTCTAGGTTTAGAAGGAAAGTACCTCCAAATGCCAGATGCAGAGGAGGGGCATTGGGAGAGAAGTGTCTACAGTGATGCCCCGCCATGATGACAATAATCCGTCCTATGAAAATCGCTGTTTAGCAAAATCATCGTCGTGCGAAAACCCTTTCCCCATTGGAATGCATTGAAACCCGGTTTAATGCCTTCCAATGGGGAAAATACCTCATTGTCCAGTGAAGATCACCTGTAGGTAAGCCATTTTGTGAGCGCCAATCAGCTGTTAAAATGGCTGCCCTGCGAAGCATGGGTCTGGAAAACACAGGGCAGCCATTTTGCGGAGCCGAAAAAATCGTCATCTTGTGAACAAATGGTTCGCGAAGCACAGACCTAATCAACATCCAGCGAAAATCTCTCATAGGAATGACTGTTTTCTGAATCACTATAGCGATGGCAAAAAGTCATCGTTATGCAGATTCATCATTTAGTGGGGTCGTCGTTTTGCGAGGTACCACTGTAGTTGTCTTGTTTGCTCCCAGAGGCATCTGGTGGGACCACTGTGAGATACAGGAAGCTGGACTAGATGGGCCCTTGGCCTGATCCAGCAGGGCTCTTCTTATGTTCTCGTGAGATAACAGAGAGGGAAACTAAGGGCTGCTTCCTTTGTATCATTTGGTTGCCTTTCTCTCTTGTGCAGTGTAGTGTTGGGGTTTGTCTCACCTTTTTGTTTGCTGTTGCTTTGCCTTGAAGAAAATGAGTGGGCAGAGGGGGTGACTGACTTTTGCGTAATGCTCACTATGCTATGAAAAAGAAAGGCAGAAGCAGTGTAAAGGGATTGCTTCATCTGTGTTGCTTGCCTGAAGTTTGCCTCTAGGTGGCGCAGCAGACCTAATCCCTGCCTCTAAGGGAAAACACACTGGTAAGGGATCACAGGCAGTAGTGGGGTTTTCAGCCCTGTGCCTGCTTTTGCAGTGGAACAAGTGGCAGCTGCCTTGAACCACCTGCCTTCTATGTTAGACTGGAAGAGGACAGGAAGAGGAAAGATGCAGAGAGATTAGATTAGGCATCCTTCAGTCTCGAAAGACTATGGTAACGTACTCTGTATGGAGGACTTGGATCAGCGTCTAGTGTGGCTGAGAAGACCAATTTGAGAATGACAATCCCTTCCACACTGAAGACAAATACAGTCTGCCCCCTGTCCAGCTCCCTGATTTTGCTGCTTTCGGGACTGCCTTTTTGCCTCGACCTGCTAGGCAAGGGTCTCTTCAAATTTGGAGAGGCCATGATGCACCGCCTGCCTCCAGGCTGAATACTCAAATGTCAGGGTTTCCCGTCTGTTGAGGTCCATTCCTAAGGCCTTCAGATCCTGCTTGCAGATATCCTTGTATCGTAGCTGTGGTCTCCCTCTGGGGTGATTTCCTTGCACTAATTCTCCATACAGGAGATCTTTTGGAATCCGATCATCAGCCACTTTCACGACCTGCCCATGCCAACTGTCGCTGTTTCAGTAATCCAATAATTCATTAATTTGCATGTATCCATGGAAATATTCCAGTTTGTTCTAGGACTACTCTATCTGGAACTTTGTCCTGCCAGGTGATACAAAAAATGCATCAGAGACAACGCATATGGAGGGTGTTCAGCTTCCTCTCCTGCCGTGCACAAAGGGTCCAGGAACACTGATGAAGCTACACACATTCAAGAGGGTTTAGGCATACACTCCTCATTGTGTATGGTGGCAGCAGTAGGTCAGTATGCTGGTCAGCCTTCACAGCAGGGGTCCCTGATAACAACAACAACTTGTGAAAGGAGAAACCTTCTATAGTGCTAACTGTAGTGATGCCTCATTGATATAAATCACTCTCTGTCCCTTGGGAAAGACCACCTCCAGAGAGGTGGCTGTGTTAGACTGCAACCCTATGGCCACTTAATTTTGAGTAAAGCCCACTGAAGACTTTCTTTTAAGTAAATATGTACAATATTGGGCTTTACTGTCACAGGCTTAATATGTCACAGCAACACAAAACAAAAATATATTATGATTGAGATCTTATTTGTGAGATGTCGTATTTGGATCCCAACAAAGATACAATTTTAATTGTATAATTTGGGAAACTTTTTTGTTTCAGTTTCTTTAACACTTCTGAAGACATTAGAAAGGTAATCTTACTGTCCTATAGTATAAATTGTGTTTAGCTTGTCCATAGAAGTCCTCTATTGTTTGTGTTCAGGTAAGTTAGAGACTATTAGTATAAGGAAAAAGATAAATTCCATCTCTAGCTGCAAATTATCTCCTTACAGTACAGTTCATATATTTTTAGAAATAAGCCCTAATAAGAGTAATTGGATTTATTCCCATATAGTTGTGTATGGAATTGCAGTCCAGAGGAAGCATGCATTTTTAGTTTAGTCCCCAAATTCAAGAGCAGTTTATTACTGAAGAAAATACAGTCAACAGTTTTAAGAAGGAAGGAAAGAAGTATAGTCCTCTCAGATGAAGGGCAAACATTACCTTCTGTGCTATTTTCTGGAGCCTCAGCCACACACCACCAACCACCAACCACTAACTGATAAGATGTGATCATTCCATGTTACCTGCTGCAAAATGCAAAGATATGTGGATTGGGATAGTAATTCTACACTGACACTAGAAGAGGAGTAATGAAGAGAAAGTGGGACCTGCAGTATAATGTTTTAGTGTGGAATTCTTCCATTCAGGGTTAGGATGGATTTGACATAAATAAAAAATGAATATTTTTGGACAATTTAAATTTAAAAATGATTTTAAAAAATTTAAATCTTGAGTTAAATTGTGATTGAAATCAATTTGATTTTTAAAAACCATTGACTTTTATCGACCTTGTTCAAGATACTAACCTTTTAAAAAGATGCTTCAGTCGCTTCTCACTGGCCATCTGAACATTAGTTGACATTCAGTGTCAACTAACCATGCTCCGTTCCCATTCTCCTTTTAAGGTTTTCCTTTAAAGATGTTTTTGTACTTCTACCAATCATCCAAGCCTGCTGGTACTTTCATCTTGCGCGTGGCTAGGGATGTTTTGGCTATAAAAACATAAACAACTTAGACTATCAGTTCAGTATTCGTATATATAGAACGTGGCTGTGACTCCTTCACAAAATGAACCTCAGGGAAGCATGAGGGTAAAGTAGAAGCTCTTTCTGCTTCTTTTCTTTCTAAAGGACAGTGGATGGTGGAGTAAATGGGGAAGTTTGGATGTTCCCACCTCTATAGATCCAGCATGAGGTACTAGGTTCTGTTGCTATTAGCTTTGGCTCTCACTGCATTGTAGGCAGTGCAGTAGGAAGGTGCCTCATGGTGAATGTAGACTGTCTTGCTCTGAGAGACTTGACTGACCCCATCTCTTACTGTATTTTGCTGTGCACTTCAAACATGGT